TTTAGATTCCAGCGAACATCCTAACCCTGCTTACCCAGACAGCTGACATTCTTACACTTTCTCTTGGGACTCCTCTACACACACACACACACACACACACACACACACACACACACCGAGGCTGCTCCAACACTGCCCTTCTTTAGCCTGTCTGCTTTCTTCACTCAAAAGAGCATAGCCTTTTCTCCTCCTTGTGCCCATCTCCCTCCTCCTGGCAGGAGGCCAAGGGCTGGAGAGATGGCACAGTGGTTAAGAGCACGGATGCTCTTCCAGAAGTCCTGAGTTCAATTCCCAGCAACCTCATGGTGGCTCACAACCATCTGTAATGAGATCTGACATCCTCTTCTGGCATGCAGATACATGCAGGCAGAATATTGTATACATAATAAATAAATCTTAAAAAATTTTTGAGGAGGCCAAAAGCCTGCAAAAAGAGTGTTGTGCTCCCCACTGACAGACTGGAGTCTCCTGTTCTCAAGATAAAATGGTTTGGGAGATACCGCTTTCTCAACATTTCCCTTGGAGACTGGGATATTGCTTAGTGGTAGAGCTGTGTACAAGGCCTGGGTTGGAGTCTTCCCAGAAAGAAAGAAGGGGGTGTGGGTAAAGGCGTTTGCCTCTAGACGCAGTAGCTCCCACAGGTTGTTTGATTCAGTTTGTTTTTTTAGAAAGAGCATGTGACCAGTTTTTATGGGTAGGCTAAAATTATTCACTAAAGTCAGAAAAGATTTATTCTGTGTGGCCATGTTGGGAATAGGATCAAATAAAGAAGTCCAGGGGCCACCACCTCCAAATCCATCTTCAGGGTACCAGCAAGAGGCTTGGGTTGAATAGAGGGCAAAAGGAGTGGGGTCCAGCCCAAGTTGTGATGCCACAGGCTACAAGTTGTCTGAAGGAACTGAGAGAAATCTCTTCCTCTGGCCAGGGCCAGGCTTCACTCAATCCATGTCTCCCTGCATTAGATTCTCAGGAAACTGCAGTTATTTGGGGCCCATTGTTTCAGTAGTTTGATAGCCAGATGGGAGGGACACAAGGGTCACTTTAGAATAGCTTTCTTCCTGTCAGTACCAGGAGGGAGTGAAGGAAGGGAGGGAGAGAGCGGGAGAGAGGGAAGGAAAGAAGGGATCCACAAAAGACCCAGCCACTTTCTGAATCACACTCTTTATAATACACAGTAACCCTTAAGTTCCTGGGTCCTGTGAATCACAGAACCTGTGGAGGGCATGTGGATACCCAAGATTTATAGCCAGCCACTCTTCAGTATGACTGACTTTCCCCTTGAAACCTGAATTGGAGACAGTCTTGGGGGACTAAATCTTTGACCTCTGGGGTCTGTGTAAGAACTGAATTACTAGGTACCCAGATGGTGTTAGATTTAGGGTACTGGTTACTAAGTCACTACCCTCTCCTGGCACAATCTTGTGCTAAAAGACGGGACATCACACCTTGGGAGGCTAGGCCAGTGACAAACACAGGAAGACAAGACTTCAGACTCCAAGAGTTGGCTGACAGGTACAGATGTGGTGTCAGGTGGTAGCTTCTCAGTGGACCCACAGCTTAAAGAAAGAACAAAGTCAAGGCACAAAATGAAACGTGCTCCACTCCCCTGGAAGATTCCGATATCTGTGAGAGCACAGGCCGCTCTTCCAGAGAAGCCCTGTGTGTTTCGCAGCTGGCAATTGCTGTGACTCCAGTGTCAGGGGAGCCAATGACCTCTAGCCTTCAGAGGCACCATGCAGGCAAGTAGTACATATACCTACACATGAAGGCACTGCCATCTACACATAGAAATATATGAATCTTTCAAAAATTATCTTACTATTTTTAATTATATACAGAGTGTATATGCCACTTGTGTACGGGGGAGTGGGGTTTGCAAGCAGTTGTGAAACACCATGTGGTTGCTGGGAATTGAACTCATGACCTCTGGAAGAGCAGCCGGTGCTCTTAATCACTGAGCCATCTCTCCACCCCTCAGTAATTATTTTTAAATGATAACACTTCTGGCTACAACTCACCTGAGAAGACATTAATGAGGTAAAATGAAAGCTAGGGCACTCCTGTGGAACCCGACGCAACAATCCAGGTAAAGACGACTAAGATGTGGGCAATTACGGCATCAGGTTTTGCTTATCAGGTGCGGGCTATCCATGTGAGGCCTCACGCTAGGCAAGTGCTTTACTTTACGTAAATTTAGAAGACAGAGCAAAGATTGGTGCAATTTTAGAGGAAGACGTGTGTGAAAACGGTGAGAGTCCGGGAGTGGCTGTCTCCTCTGTACCTGGGGATGCCTGCGTGAGGGAGTTGGGGATAAGGGGCAGCAATTTAGCTGAAGGAAAGTGTGAATGAAATTTGAGGTGGACAGCATGTATGTAAATAAAGAAAAACAATGAAGTCCCAGAAAGAGCTCTGAGCACTGCACATTGAACTCGGTTAAGAGACCCGGGGCTGGAGTCTGGCAATGGTGATGCACACCATTGATTCCAGAAGAGGCAGAATCACAAGTGAATCCCTTGAGTTTTAAGGCCAACCTTGATTATACAGAGTGGATTCCAGGACAGCCAAGGCTACACAGTGAAACTCTGTGTTGGAAAAAATGATAGAGAGAGAGAGAGAGAGAGAGAGAGAGAGAGAGAGAGAGAGAGAGAGAGAGAGAGAGAGAGAGAAAGAGAGAAAGAAAGAGAGAAAGAGAGAAAGAAAGAGAGAGGCCCTGGGTTGGAGAGAGGGGTCAATAGTAAACAGCACTGGCTGCTCTTCCAGAGGACCCAGGTTCAATTCCCAGCACCTACACAGCAGCTCACAACTGCCTGTAACTCCAGTTCCAGAGAATCCAATGCCCTCTTCTGGCCTCTATGGGCACCAGGCATACATATAAAATAAAATAATTACATTTTAAAAAGAGAGAGGGTGTGTGCAAGATGGTGGTGGTACTTACCTTTAATCCCAGCACTTGGGAGGCAGAGGCAGGCAGATCTCTGTGACTTCCAGGCCAGCTTGGTCCACAGAGAGAGTTCCAGGAATGACTCCAAAGCTACACAGAGAAACCCTGTCTTGAAAAACCAAAAAGAGATAGATAGATAGATAGATAGAGAGAGAGAGAGAGAGAGAGAGAGAGAGAGTTCTATCAATAGAGTGTGGTGGTTTGAATAAAAATGGCCCCTATAGGGGGGCATATTTGAATGCCTGGACATCAGGGAGTGGCACTGTTTGAGAGGGATTAGGAGATGTGGCCTCTTTGGAGGAAGTGTGTCACTAGGAGGTGGGCTCTGAGGTTTCAAAAGCCCAAGCCAGGCCAGTGGCTTTCTATCTGCTGCCTGAGGGTTCAGATGTAGAAGTCACAGCTACTTCTTCAGCACCATGTCTGCCGGCATGCCACCATGCTTTATGACATGATGAGAATAGACTAAACCTCTGACACTGTAAGCAAGCCCCAATTAAATGCTTTTTTATAAGAGTTGCCATGGCCATGGTGTCTCTTCACAGCAATAGACTACTAAGACAGGGATTCTCCTGCCTCTGCCTCCAGAGTGCTGAGATTACAGATGTGTGCCACCTGGTTGTATTTTACAAGGGGGAACACCTGGGCAGAAGGTGACTGAAGGATTCCAACACACACACACTGTCTTAGTTAGGGTTTCTATTGCTGTGAAGAGACACCATGACCATGGCAACTCTTATAAAGGAAACTAATTTGGGTGACTTGTTTTCAGAAGTTTAGTCCATTATTGACATGGTGTTAGAGATGGAGCTGAGAAGTCCTACATCTTGACTTGCAGGCCACAGGAAGTGGTCTGAGACACTGGATATCTTGAGCATATATGAGACCTCAAAGCCCACTTCCACAATAACACACTCTCCAACAAGGTTACACCGCCTAATAGTGCCATTCTCTTTGGGGACCATTTTCTTTCAAACCACCACACACACCTATGAGAAAGCCTACAACACCAGGTGACAGCAGAGCTGGCAGAGAGAATATTGTAGGCAGAGTTTTTCTGTGCTGTGGCCGCTTACCAAATAATCAACACAATGGCTTAATATTACTTATAAATGCTCAGCCAATAGCTCAAGCTTGTTACTAACCAGCTCTTACAACTTAACTCATTTCTACTTGTTGGGAGCCAAATCTCAGGGCTTGGCATGAGATCCTAGGCCATTCTTGGATGGCCACATAGTTGTATATTAACCTTTATATAGCAGCTCCTTGGAACCTCAGCTCAAGAAAAGAGACAACCTGACCCAGCCCTCCACCCACAGGCTCAGTCACCTAGGCAACCCTTCCTGGATCTCTTACTCATAAACTCTTTACCCTGCCAAACATCCTCTTTGTGGCTTCCTAATATCCTGCCTACACTAACACCTGGTGCACAAACAATCCATTCTGCCCCTCCCCATATCCTGCTCTGCTGACTATATAAACTAGCCTGAGAAAAGTAAAGTTTGCCACTTGATCAGAATCCTGTCTTGTGGTCACTCTTTCTGTGTCTCTTGTCCCCATTCCCTACCCTGACTCTCTTGCCCCAGGTTGACATCCTGCAGCTCGGGACACTGCTAATCTATGATCTGCCCTAAGGCTCATGGCTTTTACCTCTATCCCATTTTGTGTGCCCAACTCAAAAGTTCTCCATCTGACTGGTGAGTCCCTCATTCCACCCTTCTTTGCCCTCAATTTGATTGTCCTATCGAACTTTTTCTTGTCTTGCTGTAGGCCAATCAGCTTCTTTATGAACCAATGAGAGTAATACATTTCACAGTGTATGGAAGGATTATATCACAGCAGACCACACAGACAATCAGACAGAACTAGCTCTAAAATACCATCTCAAATTACTGCTTTAAAAAAGTATTTATTGCTGGGCGTTGGTGGCGCACACCTTTAATCCCAGCACTTGGGAGGCAGAGGCAAGCAGATCTCTGTGAGAATGGTCTCCAGAGCAAGTGCCAGGATAGGCTCCAAAGCTACACAGAGAAACCCTGTCTCGAAAAACCAAAAAAAAAAAAAAAAAAAAAAAGTATTTATTGCAAAGAATGCTGGACACAGTGCAATGTACAACTGAAATCCAAAACCATATATTCTAAGGAAAGCAGGACAGTGTTGGCAATTCTGCCCATGAGCCATCTCAGCTAAAAGCTGGGGACCAGCTGGCATGCAGCTGCCTTGCAGAGGCCACTTCCAGGTGCTTGAGGGAGGGACTGTCCAGAACATGCCCGCTCCACTGACGTCCTTCTGCCCCAACCCTAGGCTCTTATACCCCTGAGTCCAGCAATTCCTGTCTTCCCTGGACACAGAGGAAAAAGGCTTTGGTGGTCTCCACCTCAAGTGGCATCCAGCTACGTATTCATAGCTGCTAACCACAGCAGCTATGGCTAACAAGTGTGTGGAGATAACATGACCAACATCACTCAAATTTTGAGAGACAGGGAGCAAAAGTTTCAGGCCCCAAAGGCAGTGGTATGGTCCTCTAGCTTCAAGCTAGGACTTGGAGGTCTCATGAGACGATTATAGGAGAGTCATGCACCAGTCCTAGCCCAGCACCAGCAGGGCAGCAGTTTGTCTACAGCTGCTGAGGAGAGACACAGGCTGGGGATAATGGCACTGGCTTCTTGGAGGCAGATGGCATCTGCAAGCTACACTGCCCAGGGCTGGCAGGGCTGCCAAAGGTAGACTGCTCCGCCAGATTCGGGCCTGGAAATGTTCTTGGATGCAGTGCCTGGCTTCCCCATGGCTGCTCTGTGGCCAGCAGAGCACTGATTGCTGCTACAGACAGTTTCTTGCCCTGCTTCACAGCCTGCTTGTCACTCTGCTGGTCAGCTGGAACATGGAGCCTGACTTCACTGCCTGGACCCACAAGAACTCAGGGCATGAGAGGCACAGGCTTCATAAGGCTGTTTTCAGTAGGCTTAAGTTGTATACGAATCAAAACTGGAGTGGGGCTGTGGACTCCTCCCTTGGCTGGGGCTGCCTGTGTTTTGTCCTCTCCTTCCTCAGTCCTACAGGTGGAGATCAACAAACAAGACGACAATCTGACAGTTCTGAGCCACTTATGACAAAGGCATGTCCCGGTCACCAGTGTTCAGTCCTGTGTGGACAGTGACAGCAACAGCCAGGTAGGGGAGACCAGTTTCCATGAGCACTTTGGTGAGTGCACCAAGAAGGTACTTCGTGCGGCTGCCTTGTCATTACGCGGTCCCCCATGGAGGAATTAGGACAAGGCAGCCTGAGCTGCAGCTACCCTATATTCCAGTGTACAACTTGGTAGACGTTAGGAAGGCATTACAAATGCTGCCCTCCACATTTATTCAGTGTTAAACGCCCAAGAGGATGTGCTGTTCTCGTGAGTACCACAAATATAGGTGACATCCAGGTGGGAAGCAAGGGCTTTCCCCTTCACCAGAGGCAGCATACACTGAGGTCCCACGAATATCTGGCCTCTGGCTTCAAGAGTGGCTACAGAGAGGACGGTAGAGCTCTCCAAGGGTCACCTGGCCCATTTCAGGCAGCTGGGCCACAGTGGGGACGTCCTAGTGAGACTTTTTGTCTCAGTGTCACATTTAAGGTTGCAAGCCTCATGAAGCAGCCAGCCTGGTGAGAAGGCTGCTTGAGGGCTGTAGCAGAGAGGCCAGCGCAGGGCACAAAGCCCAGGGAACTCAGCAGCAGGTCAGCAGCCATACCCAACTCTGTCACTGGTTGTCAACAAGGAGGCAGGTGGGCTAGGCTGGGGGTTCTGAGTGTTGCCAGCCATCCATGGCTTCCAGGAGTGTTCCTGCGTGGTGACATCATCAGTATTGCAAACACCAAGGAGGCCTGGAGAAGTCAGGGCCCGCCCGGGGGTCTTGGATGAGACGTGGTCATTGGTGAGCAGGGACTGTGACAAGGGCTTCCTCTGAAGGCCTGGATATGTCTACATTCTGCACAACAATAAAGACAAAAGCTGTTCACCCTGCTCAGGAATAGATGGGGACACCTCACTCCTGCTGTCCTGATCACTGTGGCCAGACAGATACACATCCTGCCTCAGTGGCCTCAGCTGAAAGACCCTAACCTGCCCTAAGCATGAAGCACCACTTGCTGGGTGCTCAGACGAGAGGACGAGCATGGGGTGAGGGTGTGGCCCACTCATGCGCCACTGCAAGCAGGTCAGGCGCTGCCCACAGAAAGGCCACACCCCCTGCCGCCTGAGGACCGGTCAGCTGGGGAGGGAGAGGAGTACACCTCCTTCCTGGCTCTAGCAGCCTAAGGACATCTAGTTTGTAACATGTTTTATCTCTTCAGGATGGAACCTCACAAAACCATAAAGCCCAGTTCCATCTTTGGCCCGCTGAGCTTCCAGTTTCTCAGGCCTGAAGAATGGGGGGCAGGGCTTGGGACCTCTCTCAGCTCCATGAGGCTGCCCTGTGAGCCCTCAACGGCTTCCTTTGATTCCAGAAACTGAGGAATAGGTGAGGAGTGGTAGCCCAGTGCAACATGACACAGCTATGCCTTCAGGGACAGAGATATGCTCTCATGGTCTAGAGTGAGCTCACAGACCAGCCCAGGAGCTGTAGGAGCAGGTAGATCCCTACTTTCAGGCAGGGTTGGTCCCAGGTTTGTTACTGTTTTTGTTTTGTTTTTTGAGAGAGGGTCTCATGTAGCTCCTGTTGCCCTCAAACTCACTATATAGCTGAGGATGCCTTTGAACTTCTGATTCTCCTGCTGGGATTATAGGCATGTGTCACTATGCCCTGCTGGGGATCAAATCCAGGGCTTTGTGTGTGATAGGCAATCATTCTACCAACTCGACTACAACACCCAGCCCATGATAATTTTTAAAAAGGCTCATGATGCCTAGACTGGCAAAGGAGGCCAGAATCATTACCTCCCATCGATGGGCATCTAGCCTCTCCCTCCCAGGACCAGCTCTAGCCCAGAGCTATGTCAGGGCTGCTCAGGAGCTTGTGAGGCCTTAAGAACTGGGAGCCAAACACACCAGCTTCCTGCTGGTGGCCCAGCTCCAGGTCCCTCCCCTAGCCCAGCTCCAGGTCCCTCCCCAGGCCTGACCTTGGGAAACACCTAACCAGGCCACAGCCCCACCCTGGCCACAGGAGACAGACCTAAACAGAAAACAGCCCTGGGAAGAGACTCACCGTTACCCTAGCCTGGCCCTGACCCAACTGGGAATCCTGAAGATGTAGTCAGAACACCCCTGGGGAACATGTCCACCACCCCAGCGGTGAGCCCAGTGTTACCTGAGGCCTGTCTCGGTGTGTGTTCACAGCTGCCACATTCAGGAATATGGACTCCACTTTACAACCTGTCAAAGGAAGAGGCCAGTGCAATCCCCACACAGATGGCAGCCAGAGCCACAGAGAGGCAAAAGCTACTCTAAGGAGGAGGCTAGAATGTACCGAGCTCAGCTTTACTCTAATCCTTCCTTCCTGAGACAGCTCCAGGGACCACTAGGAGGCAAGGGAGCCTTGTCAGACTCCTGCTTATCCATGTATGGGGACCCAGGCTGCCTACACAGGGACTGGGGGTGGGCGGGGCAGCAACAGGGCAATGATCAATACGGAAATCCAAACTCTTGGTGCCCTCAAACCAGTCCCACCCTCCATCCTATCATAGAAAGTCCAGTCAGCCCCGGAGGAGGGAGGATAACCCCAGCTCCCCTGGAGCTCCATCTTCCACAAGCACGATGCAGGAGAGTGGGCTGTGGCCAGAATATCTGCCAGTGCAGGAAAAGGCAGGGGAGGGACACAAATGTCCTGCATCCAGAATATTCTGGGGTTAAAGGAAGATCAAAGATCACTGGTCACAGGGTCTCATTCTGTAGCTCAGGCTGGCCTTGAACTCACTATATAGCCAAAGCTGGCCTCAAACTCTTGGCAACCTTCCTACCGTAGTCTTCTGATTGATTACAAGTATACACTACCATAATTGAATACACAAAGTTTTTTATAAACTAAAAAGCAAATCAGGTGCACAATTAGAATTCCAGCACTGGTGGGGTAGGGGGTGAGACAAGAAGTTTCTGAGGAAAAACCTGCCTCAAAACAATGAGAGAAGAGAAATAGAAAAGGGGAATTGAGGCTGGGCATTGGTGGCACACACCTTTAATCCTGGCACGGGAGGCAGAGGCAGGCAGATCTCTGTGAGTTCGAGGCCAACCTGGTCTCCAGAGCAAGTGCCAGGATAGGCTCCAAAGCTACACAGAGAAACCCTGTCTCGAAAAACCAAAAAAAAAAAAAAAAGGGGGGGGGTTGAGAAAGACAGTATGTGGTGGAGAGTGGGGATGAATGAATGAGTCCCTGTGGAAAGAAGAGATCTGTGGACCATCATAGAACCCTACAGACAGCCAAGGTCAACACGTGGGAAACTCCCTTACCGTAAGCTACAGGTGTGAGCTTCAGGACTGTGTGCAAGGGACATTTGAGGTAGGGCAGCTCTTCTGTGGACAAAGAAGGACAGGGCTCACATGCCATACATGCCTGGATGTCCCCATGTCATGCACACAGCCCACCTGCCTGGCCAAGGCCCCTCACCAGCTGCCTTGTCAAGGAAGTAGGCCAGCAGGCAGCGCATCACAGCCTGGTGGCAAATGACCAGCACATTCTCCTGTCTCTCCAGTTCCATAATGACAGGCTCTAGTCGCTGCACCAAGTCTTCATAGGACTGCAAAGGGAAGCAACGAAGGTGTCCTTCAGGCCTGGCTCCAGGGGTAGGAACCAAATCAGGAGTTGTACTGATTAGACTTAGGTCAACTTGACACAAACTAGAGTTGTCTGAAAGAAGTTATACTGGTGTGAATGAAAATAGGCTCATAGGGAGTGGCACTGTTAGGGGTTGTGGGCTTGCTGGAGTAGGTGTGGCCTTATAGGAGGAAGTGTGTCACTGGGGGGTGGGCTTTGAGGTTTCAAATGCTCAAGCCAGGCCTAGTGTCACTCTCTCTTCTAGCTGCCTATGGATCCAGATGTTTTCCTTCATAAGAATTGCCGTGGTCATGGTGTCTCTTCACAGCAATAGAAACTCTAGGACAGGTTGTTACCTCAATTGAGAAAAATCCCTCCACAAGATCTTTTTCTTAACTAGTGATTGATGGGAGAGGGCTCAGCCCATTGTGAGCAGAGCAAGCCAGTAAGTAGCACCCTTCATGGCCTCTGCATCAGCTCCTGCCTCCAGGTTCCTGCCCTGTTTGAGTTCTATCCGGATTTCCTTCAATGAAGAACTTTAATGTGGAAGTGCCAAGCCAAATAACCCTTCCCTCCCCAACTTTCTCTTGGTCATTGTGTTTCATCCCAGCAACAGAAACCTTAAGACAGGTGTGCTGGGCAGCTAGCCACCTGCTAACTCTTGTGTTTAAGCTCCCTCCAGCCTAGTTCCTGAGGGGATGGAGTGGGCAGCTGCCCTTGGAGGGCTGCTTTAGTGAGGTGACCAACGTGGGCGGGAGGTGGGAACAACCTGGGAAGGAAGCCACCTTCTCCTTCCAGGGCTACGTCCTGGTAAGACCAAGAGAGCTAGGCCCCAGACACACCCCAAAGACTCTCAGGATAAATGGCTACCTATGGTGCCTATTGGCATACTGAAGCAATGCTGGTCTTCAGCCACAAGTACCTGTGGCTCTTCTCACCCTACCCCTACCCTAAACTTCTCCAGCTCATGGGCTTCTCTCCCCGACTTTCTCATTCCTTGTAACCAACTACTTTGGCTATGTGCTCTCTTGGTCCCCTCTCTCTTGCCTGTCTCTCCGGGTCTTGTTTCTCTCTCTCTCCTCCATTCTTCGCTCGTGGCCAGGCTCAGTCTGCTGAACATAATAGGTCTACAACTTCCTCTTTCTGCTCTGGATTCTTCCAGACACCTCTGGCTGTTCTCTCCTCATATCTACAATAGGAACTTTCCTCTTTTTTTTTTTTTTTTTTGGTTTTTCGAGACAGGGTTTCTCTGTGGCTTTGGAGGCTGTCCTGGAACTAGCTCTTGTAGACCAGGCTGGTCTCGAACTCACAGAAATCTGTCTGCCTCTGCCTCCCGAGTGCTGTCAGGAACCTGAGGTCCCCAGGAACAACCTCGTGATTATCTGCTTGCCTGTTCCCTCCCCTACTGTGTGATAATGGGGACCTTATACCCCTGCTGGCCCCCGGGACAACCCCTAGCTCCATTTTAACCCAAAAATCAGGCATGGGGGTGGGGCAGTTCCATCTCTCCCCATCTTTCAAAGTACATCCCTCAGAAGAGCCTGCCCCAAGCTGTGACCTGTGACTAGGCAGTGGTACCAACGCCCAACCTGTGCTGATCTCTAGCGGTTCTGGGATGACTCTTTTTTATTTTTCATTATTTTATTATTATTTTCTCTGTGTGTGGAAGGGGGTATGTTCAGTGATTCTATGTATGTGTCCACACACATGTGGAGGCTTTGAGGTCAACCTCAGATGCCATTTATCAGGTGCTGTCTACCTTATTTTTTGAGAAAGGGTCTTTCATTGGCCTGGAGCAGAGTAGGAGAAGTTGACCAGCAGCAAGCCCCAAGGATTGATCTGCCTCCACCTCCTCAGTACTGGGGTTACAGGCACGCACACTACACCAGTGTTTTTGTTTTGTTTTCAACCTGAGTTCTGGGGATCAAACTTGGGTCATCATGTTTGCAAGACAGAAAACTGACTACACTATCTACCCAATCCTGTATTGGTTCTCTTTACCACTATGTGGGTTAGTTCTGAACCTGAACTCTGCCTCACAGCACAATGTGAGAATTATTCATGTCGCCCAGAGCTACACGATTCCACATGTGTGTCTCAGGGCACCTCCTTGAAGCAGGAGGAGATTCTTCAGCCAAAGTGATTCTTACTTTCTGACCCAGGGTCTGGAATGACAGGGACTCTCTGAGGGATGGTGGCAGTGTGACCACTTTGCCAAATCTCTCTGGAGAAGGTCTCCATGGATCTGGAAGCAGAGTTGGGGTTGGCACATGGAGCTCTGGGGAGGACAGGGAACCTGACAAGGGAAAGCACCCAAAGAAAGGGAAAAGGTCCCGGCAGAGAGAAGGGTGGGCTGCCCCTTTGGAGCGAGGCCGGGCCACTTAGAGCACTCTGGGAAAAGGCTAGCAACTCCCTGAGTAAGGAGCTGGCCTGGGCATCCCAGGAGAAGATGGCTAAGCTACAGAAGTCCCAGAAAAGCCAAACCCAACAGAGCCAGGGGCACTCAGCTCAGGCTCTGCCCTCACAAGGTCTGTACCCTTATGAAGGGGGGAACAAAGACAGAGAGGGACCCAACATGGCTAATACCTGCTCTCTGTCGTACTACCCCCACCCCACCAACCAAGGAAGAGCAAAGGTCCAGGAGACAGAGCTGGGCACTGATGGAGGAGAAACCCACACCTAGGCTGCCAGCCTCAAAGACAAGGATCTGAGCCCTGAAAACAAGCAGCAGTGCTGGCAGGCAGCCGGCACTGAGACTCCAGCTCTCACCTACCTCGCCTTTGGGGTACCGGTAGCGGTACTTGTCCTGATCCCTGAGGGCAAACTCCAGTGGGTAGTGGTCCTGGATTTCTTCGTAGGTCATTTCCTCACAGACACCCTAGGAAGACACAGTAGCCATCACACCACCCATGCCAGGCTGAAAAGACCAAAACTGGGTTGCAGCAGCAGACAGAGGAGACCAGCATTTCCTGGGCCAAGGGGACACTCCTAACACAAAGCTTACATTGCGTGGAAAAGCAGACCCTCTCTGGACACTGAGTACACTGGCAGCCATGTCTGTAGGATGACATCAAAACAGTCCCCACCTATCCATCACACAGCTATCCAGTGGGTGATACAGGGCTGATATAGGGCTTGGCACTAATGTGGGCATTTTCCTAAGTCTTTAATTGTTTTGTTTTGTTTTTTGTCCTTTGAGACTAGGTCTCTACATACAGCCCTGACTGCCCTGGAACTGACTTTGTAGACCAGACTGGCCTCAAACTCACAGAGATCCACCTGCCTCTGCCTCCCAAGTACTGCAATTAAAGGCATGCACCACTACACCTGGGTTAAATTTTTTTTATTGCAATTATTTGCTTGTCTGTTAGTTTATTGTGTATGTGTGCTCCCATGGGCTCATGGCATGGCATGGCATGGTCAGAGGACAACTTGCAGGAATGAGTTGTCAGGCTTGTCAGCAAATGCCTTTACCCACCGAGCCGTCTCGATGGCCTTAAGTCTTATCTATTATGGAACTACTAAATATGAGTAGAGACTGCTCTGTGAATTGTAATAACAAAAACTCATTTGTATGCTGGAGGGAGACAGCAGGCCACAGTGGACAAGAGCAAGCTGGTGGTGGTAGAGGGGTGGGGGGCAGGGAGGTGGATGGATGGACAGACAGACAACACATACACTATCTTATACCAACATCAAAACAAAACAAGCCAAGCTGAGTGTACTAGGTAATGAATCATGAGTTCACAAGCCAAAGGTCAAGGATGAGATCAGCCTGATCCACAGGAGACCCAGCTCAAAAACCAACATGGAGCTGGAGAGACATCCTGCTTTTGCAGAGGACCTGGGTTCAGTTCCCAGCACCCACTTCAGACATCTCACAACTGCCTGTAACTCCAGCTCTAGGAGATCTGATGCCCCAGATCCTCATAGGCACCTGGACTACACACACGCACGCACGCACGCGCACACACACACACACACACACACACGCACGCACGCACGCACGCACACACGCACGCGCGCACACACACACACGCACACACACACGCACACACTCAAAACAACAACAAAGGCACTACAGAGACTACTTGATGATTAAGAATGCTTGCTGCTTTTCCAGAGGACCCACATTTAGCTCCCAGGCTGTGACTTAAGTCACCTGTAACTTAAGTTCCAAAGGATCCAACACCCTCTTCTGGTCTCTGCAGGCACTGCAGGCACCACACCCCCACAAAAAAAAAAAAAAAAAAAAAAAAAAAAAAACAATACAGTCAGCCACCAGCAGAGAAGAAGGGTGATGGAAAATTCTGAACAGTTATTTCAGGCACTGAAGAGACTGAAACATCTCGTGACCTACTTCACCTGAGTGAGACACCACTATGGGTCCCCTAAGGAACTAATACTTGTTTTGAGATCAGGAAGTGAAATAGTGTTGTAATAAGTCCCTAAGGATGTGGAAGTGGTTACAGAGGCAGGAAGAATATTTTAGGTTGCCTTGCAGAGTCTGTTGGTAACAGTGTAAACGTTAAAGGAGATTGTGGGAAGCCTTAGAGGGAAGCAGGGATGGTAAAGAAAGCCCTGGTCATGCCGGGTGTTGGTGGCACACCCTTTAATGCCAGCACTCAGGAGGCAGAGGCAGAGGCAGGAGGATCTCTGTGAGTTCGAGGCCAGCCTGGTCTCTAGAGTGAGTGCCAGGATAGACCCCAAAGCGACACAGAAAAACCCTGTCTCAAAAACACCAAAAAAAAAAAAAAAAAAAAAAAAGCCCTGGTCAGGTTGAGAAGATGGCTCAGTCAGTAAAGTGCTTGTTAGTACATGTAAAAAGCTAGTATGGCAGCACACATTTGTCATCCTAGCACTGGGGAGGCAGAGCCAGGAGGAGAGTCCTTGGAGACCCTGTCTCAAAAAAGCCAGATGGCGAATGACTGAAGAACACTCAGCATTAGTGCTGACCTCTGGACTCATGCACGCCCAAACGCACATGTGCACAACACCCAAGAACCTAGACACAACATGCGCACGCGTGCACACACACACACCCTGTGAACAACACACATGCACACATACACACACTGTGTACAAATACACACACACACACACACACACACACACACACACACACACACCTCTGTTATTCACATCACCATAACCAGGCTGTTAATGTAAATGTGAGTCTAGCCCATTGTGGAAGCAAACACTTGCAGTCTCAATATTCAGGAGGCTGAGGAAGAGGATCATGAGATCCTAGGCCAGCCTGAGTGACAGACCAAGATCCTGCTTCAACAGGAAAAAAGAAAGAAATGTGGATGCTGGGTTCTGTGAAGCCTCAGAAGGAATTAAAGTGCTGGTTGTGAAAAACCAGAGAAAAGATGATCAATGTTCTGAAGTGACAGAGAACTTGGCTGAACTATGTTTTAGAACTGCAAGCTATGTATGATGCCCTCTTCTGGCCTCTGGAGGTACTACACCTGCACATGGTGCACATACAGACAAGCAGGCACACACATACACAGGTAAAGAAAAATACATAAAATGTTGGCTCAGTGAGTAAAGCACTTGCTGGATAGGATTGAGGACTGGGGTTCAGATCCTCAGACCCCACTTACTGTCAGGTGGGCATGGTAGCCTGCCTACAATCCAGCACATGGCAGGCAGACACAGTGAGAGACTGTGACTCAAAATATAAGGTGGGAGGTAGCTGAGAAGACACCCAGTGTCAACTCTGACCTTCCCAAGCACACGCAAACAAGCAAACACAAAAAGTTGAGAAAACAGTCAAAGTACAAGCCATGTAGAAAAAGCATTTCATATTTTAAAAAATGAACCAAGCCACTGGAACCGTGAGAGGAAGTAGGTGAGGCCTGAGACTGCAGCAGCTCACCACTTAGAGGCATTTCCTGTACTACAGAGCATAACAGTGAAGAGACAGAACAATTAGACTCCCCAGAGCTTCAAGGGCGCCCTCTGCAGTAAAGGGCTCACTGCCTCCCCCCTGCCTTTCAGTCTGGAGAAGGGCCGTCCTATCTGTGCTTCTGCAATGGATGGAGACCCTGGATGCATCAACTTCCCTGGTCAAGAAGAACAAACCTGGATCTCTGAGCCCAGTGACCTGAAGGCTGCACTCCTCCCACTGTGAGAGGTGATTCATGGGGCGTGGGCCTAAGGCTGGGCAAAGAAGGCCAGAGGCAAAGGAACCACCAGAAGTGGAAACACTACTCTGAGGGCTCCAGCCACAAAGCAATAGTCAGTCAGACTTTCCAAACCAGAAAGAAAAAGCAGAAGTAAAAATGAACTTGAAAACACAAACAGCAATAGAAACAAACTATCCCCACAAAAGCTTAGTAAGAAAAAGCAGAAACCTCACTACACCCTAAAGGAACCAGGGGCAGAGGGACAGTCAGAGGGTATGAGCACTTGCTGTACAAGCAGGAAAGCCTGAGTTCCAATCCTCAGCACCCATGTAAAAGCTAGGCAAGGCCACATACACCTGCAATCCCAGGGCTGTGGGGCAGACACTGGAGGGTCCCTGGGCTTGCTGGCCGCCAGCTCATTCAGTGAAATACTGTTTCAAAGGAAGAGCCATGGAGTAGGACACCCAACTTCCTCCTCTAGCCTCTGGATGCACCCATGAGCACACACATATGCATATGCCTCACGCGCGCGCACACACACACACACACACACACACACACACCCCACACAGACATGCACCCCACCCCACACAAAACATACACACACACCTCACAGGAATTTGGGCGTGCGCACACACATGTATGAATGTAGAATCTTCTCAGGAAAAGTTTTGTCGCAGAGTGACCTACAAGCAAGTTAAGTCATGAACAAGGCAGATCATAATTAAATTCTCAAAACCATGATCAATGGGATTCTGAAAGCGGTCAGAGAAGGGATATGACTGTGCACGCAGAGAGGAACACAGAGCATGGCCATGAGCTGCTTCTCAAGCAGACGCAACAGGGGTATTAAACAGCCACATTGATTGTTTTCTCGGGTAGCCCTGGCTGGCCTGGAACTCAGAGATCCTCCTGCCGCTGCCTCCCAAAAGCTGGAATGAAAGGCGTGTACTACCACGCTCAGCTGACACAGGTGAGCGTGCTGGGGGCTGACAAGATGACTCAGCAGATAAAGGCATTGGCCACCAAGTCTAGTGACATGAGTTCAGTCCCCAGGACCCACACGATGGAGAGAGCTGACTCCAGCAAGTTGTCCTCTGACCTTCACACACGCTGTGGCATGTGTCACAGACACCCAAAGAAAGACATGCATGAATAAATAACAAATAAATGTCATTTAAAAACAAAGAAGCAAGGGCTGGAGAGATGGCTCAGTGGTTAAGGGCAATGGCTGCTCTCCCAGAGGACTCGGGTTCAAGTCCCAGCACCTACATGGCAGCTCACAACTGTCTCTAACTCTAGTTTCAGGGAATCTGACACCTTCACACAGACATACATGCAGGCAAAATTCCAATCTACATTAAATAAATAAATAAAATTTAAAATAAACAAACAAAAACTTAAAGGGGGACGCTGGGCTGAGTGTGTGGTACGTACACATTTTTAATTCAGGAGGCAGAGGCAGGTGAACCTCTTGAGTTCGAGGCCAGCCTGGTCTACACAGAGAAAGCCTGTCTGGAGAGGGCTGGGTGCCAACTGGGCCATCTCATGTGTACCTCCAGATTCCTCATCCCTCTCTTCCGCTCTGACCGCAGGGAGCTGACCATCCTGCACTGTACCTACCAGGCCATGAGGATGAGACCAAAGGCAGGGAAGTGAGCTGGTCACTCCCAGGCTAGGTCTTCGCCGGGGCCATCCCAGCTCATGGGCTGACCTTTCCTCCTGCTGTCATCTGACCGTTAGGTCAGCTCAACACAATATGCTTCTCCACTTCCATATCACTTGTCTATTTCTTTGTGAGCAGTTGCTTTATAAGCCCTTGCGTTACTGTCACTGTGAAGAAGGGACCAGTCGTCAGCCTAACTACCTGTACTTTATCCCTCTCTGGTTCTATTTAGCTTCCTTGATATTTTCCCTCCTCTCCTCTGAAAGTTATTTTGGATTCCAGAGACAAGACAGACTATGAACACCCTCGTGACAAAGGATTACAACTGCCCCAGGCTTTGCATATGGCGAGCTCACCCATGCCGGTGAGCTGTATCCCGGAGCTCCTGTAATCATCTCTCTAGAGCCAGACTGTCCCCTCAAGTGGTGACAGAGTGCTTCTCCTGAACTAGAGAGGAGCCCATGACCACACCACTGGCCTGACCAACCAAGACTTCCTGTTCTGGCAACTGTGCAAACCTCAAACCCTTCCCTCCTTTGTTTCCCCTTTATAAGGAATCTCAGACTTCCTTTCAATCTGTGAAGATGGATTGAGGGGTCAGTGAACTCTGCATCTGCCCATATCAACAGTGGTCACACTGATTGCATCTCCTTTTTCTGTCTTTTGCCTTGTCTCTGATTGTCATACTGGAGTGGGTGAAGAGGCTCCTAGAGCCAGGATATTTGCCCTAAAACTCCAAGAACAAGTAGAAACAAGAATCTGTTTTCTAAGTTTTTCTGTTTAGTCCAAGGTCTCATGTAGCCCAAGATGGCCTCAAACTGTGGCCAAGGTTGACCTTGAACTTTCTCACTCCTGCCTCTATTTCCCAAGGCAGAAATTACAGGTGCATGCCACCATGACAGGTTTATGCACTGCTAGGGAGTCCACCCAGGGCTTTCTGCACTCTAGGCAAGCATTCTACAGTAAACAGTAAACAGTAAAATATAGAGAACAAAAACAGAAATGTGAGAAAAACAAACGGTCATAATTATAGTATAACGACACTCAACTATTACTTTATGATAACCAAGCTTACAAAGAAAACCTAAGGATGCAGAGAATTTGAAGGATATAATTACAGCCTCTGAAACTGGTACATTTACTTACAAACTTTTCTTACGGAAATTTCAGCCACACAGAAATCAGAGACAATAGTAAAATGACATCTTGCTGGTACCTTAGTATGACTAAGTAACAATACAGTGAATGTGTCTCAACTAAAGTTGCAACTGCTTCCTTCCTTCCCACTGCCTAACCCACTGGACAGCTGTGAAGACAGCGGGAGAGGAACCCACAGTGAGAAAGCCGGCACTGTGAGGGGCCCCTGTGAGTGAGTCAGGCCTTCTCTCCAAGATCCTTGCCAACAGGGTCTGAGAGCTGCTTCTAAGCAGCACCACCCTGTCAACCACACGGTCACACTGTATTCTGAGAGTCCATTTTATGGACTACAGAGACAGGTTCTTTCTAACTGACTGAAGAAATAAGTTGTCAAATTCTAAGAGGCCCATGTGGCCAAGAACTATGGCTGGCCTGAAGGAGCTTACATAATAGCAAGTGGTGCTAGGAAGACAGCAGGCCCTCACTCCTGTAGCCTCAAGAGATGAATCTTGGTAACAAGCACTTGGGCTTGAAGGAGACCCCAAGCTGAGCCAGACTTCCTGGCTGCCACTGTAATTGCAGAGAACCCAGCTACACCTGCCAGGTGTGAGCCACAGCCGCAGTGAGGTCACAAGCCTGTGCTTGAAGGGACTTGTGTGAGATTCCTCTGGAAGGGTTTCTTCTGGCCTCCATGGACAGCCACACACATGGCATACACTCATACAGATACACACATGAATACAAATAAAAATCCTTAAAAAGGCACAAAAGAACAAAGAGTGTTTTTTGTTTTTTCTGAGCCTAAGCTCAGAAAAGAAGGAAATCCACCAAATTCGTATTCTAGTATCAGATATCTCAGGGTTCTGTAACTGCCAGGTTCAGGAAAACCCCACCCCTACCTCTGGTGTTCTTTTGTTTGTTTGTTTGTTTTGTTTTATCAAGACAAGGTTTCTCTGGGTAACAGCTCTAGGTGTCCTAGAATTCACTTTGTAGATCAGGCTGGCCACAAATTCACAGAGATCCGCCTGCCTCTGCCTCCCAAGTACTGGGATTAAAGGTGTGGCCACCTTTTTTCCTTCCCTCCTCCTCCTCCTCCTCCTCCTCCTCTTCCTTCTCCTTCTCCTCCTTCTCCTTTTTAACTCTATAGCCCAGGTTGGTCTTAAACACATTACAATCCTCCTGCCTCAGCTTCACAGGTGGAGAGTTCACAAGTATGAACCATTATGCCTGCTGCTAATGACTTTTTTTTAAAAAAGGTTTCTTAGTTCATTTCCAGCAATACAAACAGAAATGAAACATTATGCTTGAATTTGCTTTAAAATAACCCAGTAGCAAAAGAGATGGTATAGTTAAAACAAGACCGCTGTTAGCTGAGTGTGAGCATCCCGTGTGATGATGGCAGAGCACTGAGATCCAAACTGTCTGCCGTTGACTATTAATTCTTTTACTTTAGGCTTGCTATGTTTTTAAGAAACTCATTTGTTTAAAATTGCAAGTAGGGCCAGTGAGGAAGGAGCTCAGCAGGTAAAGGTGCTTGCCTGCCACCAAGGCTCACACAGGTGGAAAAACAACCAATTCCTGTGGGTTGTCGGCTGACTCCCAGGAGAGCAACTGGCATCACCAAGTGCAGACACACAAACACAAAAGACATCAATAATTCTTTTAAACCCCAGACATATGACTATCACACACCATTCTCCAGACCACACGGAGCACAAATGAAGGAAGGTTTTCCCTGACCCAAGGGACAGTGCCCAAGAGGCAGGCAGGGGAGGAAGGGACAGTAATTACCGCGTCAATCTCGTTGAGGACCTTCCACTGCTCGTAAGGCACACTCAGCGCCTCCGCCGTCTGGATCGTCCTTTTCATCTGGCTTGTCCAGACCTTCAGGTCCTTGATGTTCTGGTCGCTGATGAACTGAGCCAGATGTTTGGCAAACTGAAACACATCACAGCGTCTTCAGCCTCACAGGTCCTGGGCTACCTCAAAGGGCACCAAAGCTCAGGGCCTGTAGGGTGCAGTCCAACCTCAGGAAATAAGTTTACTTAAAAATTACACTGACTTCCATGATGCCGACATCAAAGTGCTGTTCTGTGCACTCTCCTGAGGTCCCAAGAGCAATCCCATATTTATCAGGCTCCCCCGTCTTGAGCCACTGTCCCAAGGCCATGTGACCTCTTCTGTGAGCCCTCAGACTGCACCCCCACCAACTGTGTCAAGGCCTTTAGCAGCACAGTTGGGACTCAGGCCACTCTAACGCTAGACTAACTCTGCCAGGAAAGGGTTCCGCTGGTATCTGCTCAAGCACATTTGTGTGGTGCCTCATCACCTTCCCGACGACATTCTAGACCCAATAAAGGCTGTCCACCTCGACTGCACATTGGCTACAGAAGCCCTACATATTCTTATACCCATCCTACCACCCAAAGGTGCCAATGTACAGACGCACACACCTGTGCATCACACACACACACACACACGCACACACACACTGACCTCCCTGCCTCGGGGAGATAGGCCAGGATCCCCACCAATGCGGCCTTTGAGGTTGAGTTCACTTTCCCCATGCCGGCAGAGGTAGATGGAGCGGGGTGTCACGTGGATGTTCATGAGGTAATAAACAGTGCGACTCTGGATGTGGTCAGCTACGCGGTTCACCACGTAGCTCTGGCCCACGTCCATGATCTTGATGTAGGAGAGATCCCTTGCCAGAGAGAAGGTAGAGAGAACCTGTGAGGGTGGCAGGGCCCTTGGAAGCCATAGGGACCCTCACTAAGGCCTGCAACTCTAACCCTGGATTTGATCACAGCACCGTTCTGTGAGCCAGTGTGCAAGTGATGGGGTGAGGTAGCAGTGACACTCATCGTGCTTCAAAGGGGACATCTAGCGAAGCCGTCAGTCCAGTCACGACATGGCGTGTACCAGAGCTGCCTGTGTGTTCCCAGACCCCTTCTTGCCTCCCTCTGAATTCTGTAAGCTGAACTGAGACAGCTTTTCCTAGGGTTGTGCTGAGGAGCTGCCACTCTCCTCACCAGGTAACCAGTGTTTGAGACGCTCAGGAGGACCGTGCTGGCAACAGCAGCTGGCAAACCCAACTTGGCCACTTTCCCCACTTTGCATGTGTGCGATGCTTCTTCTTGGAGAGCGCCCTTGTGTTGGCAGTGGTGGGGGTGAGCTGTGACTTAGCCAACCGTCCCCTGGATATTCCCATGTGAGTTCTCACTGTCTAGAAAGATCACGCATCTCCACATATGTTTGTTACCTTGATATTATCAATAAAACCAGGAGCAACCTGGGGCCTACCTGGGGCGTCCCAGATAAGCCCCACTAGTGCAGTGACATTGCAGAATGACAAGAAGCAATGCTGGGGAGACCAGGGGAAACAACAAAGCCACACATGGAGAGGCCCAAGTGCCATTCAGCTCCAGCCTGGCTGCAGAGCCCAGCAGAGGGAAGAAAGATGTGTCACCATGGATGACACAGGCACCACTATTCTACAAACACCTCAGAAGGCATCCCTCTAGCAGCTGCTTGTGTTCCTTGGTTTGTATGCATTGCATATTCTTTGTTTGTTTGTTTGTTTGTTTGTTTTTTCGAGACAGGGTTTCTCTGTGTAGCTTTGGAGCCTCTTCTGGCACTCGCTCTGGAGACCAGGCTGGTCTCGAACTCACAGAGATCCGCCTGCCTCTGCCTCCCAAGTGCTGGGATTAAAGGCGTGCACCACCTACGCCGGGCTTGCATTGCATATTCTTATGCAATTATAAACACCCAAACACATATTTATATCCCAGCCTTCCAGCTAATGCTGTACAACCTACACTCACACATCTTCCTGTAATTATGATTTATGGTGACTGCAAGATTTCACCAAGGTCTCACTGCTGCTTGTTTAAGTAATGCTGGCTATACTTATGCCAAGATTCAGGAGCTGGCAAATTGAGCTGCCGCTCAATTGCTGCCCACAAGCTGTTTTCTATGAGGTGTTAGTAGAACACACCCATGGCCATTTATTTACAGTTTCTTCTGCAGGACAATGGCACAGTCAGTTCACTGCAGCAGGGACTGTGAACCCTCCAAAGCCTAAATAAACTACTCACTATCTGGCCTTTGGCTGAAGTTTTGCTGATGCCAGCTGCAGGACCCTCATCTGGGTACCCACTAGGGACTTAAGGCCCCTGGCCACTCAGCACTCCTGCTTGCTCTTCTGTCCCAGAGGGAGGCAGACGGACCTGACAAGCATTGGCCACTGACTGCTGTTCATGGGCAAGATCAGCCTAGCCCGCATCTCCTTCCCCAACTGCATGGTGAAAGAAACACATGAAGTGTTTGCAAATGCCTTTTGGAAAGACCCTCTGCGTAGAAATTAGGTTCACTGCAGCCCAGCCCTGGCTCACTGCAGCCGCAGCTGCCACACGCGGTACCTGTCCAGGTCCTCATCCAGAGTCTCATAGGAGTTTTCATAGCACTCAATGCGCCTCATGAAGTCCTCAGTGGCCTCGTCGCTGTCCCGGTTGACATAGTCAGGACTGCCTAGCTTCACTTGCTGCCAGAGCCAGGAACAAAGGAAGGACACATCAGGGCTGGAGTCCAGACAGAGCCAGAAAGCAAGGACACAGCTAGGCAGGGATCGGGGAGGTGGGGCCAGGCTAGGTCAGGGCTGGGGGCCTGAGGCTGGAGCCAAGCTGGGGACTGCTCCCATCAGGAATGGTTCCGAAGCTCCCAGGTCTGAGTTAGTCTCTCACCCTGGGGCCCAGTGGGAAGCCTAAGGCTCTCTCTCTACCCTGAATTATTTTTCAAACCAACATGGGCATCTTTTTCTTTTTCTTTTTCCAAGACAGGGTTTCTCTGTGTAGCCCTGACTGACCTGGAACTCACTATGTAGACCAAGCTGGTCTCAAACTCAGAGATCCACCTGCCTCTGCCTCTCAAGTGCTGGGATTGCTGGGATTACAGGCATGTACCACCACTGTCTGGCTGACATGGCTATTCTTTAGATAACCAAGGAGTAAAGAATAAGAGTGAGAATCCAGTCTGAATCTTAAATAGAAGTACCCAGCCCACCCCTGGCTGAAGCTCCTCTCCCGCTGCCCAGGGATTATGGGAGAGGAGAAGAGAGAGGAGGGGCAAGAACAGGAGGCACACAACCCTCCTCACAACTGGTCCTCAGGACTCCAGGCTCAGCTGCCTCCCCACTCTCCCAAAATTCAAGATCAATGAAAGGTCAGGCCAAGCACCAACCCAAACCTGGAGAGGGACCTCGCTGCCACTGCCTCATTACCATCCCAAGGAAGCCAGCCAGACGCGCCACTCACCACAATGTTGGCAGCTATGACCTCAGGATCCACACAGATAGATTCAACAAAGAAGGTCTACAGCAAGGGCAGAAACGCAAACACAGTTAGTGATCGGCACTTCCCCCCAGGGTCTCTCCCTGCCGCCCATGGCCATGCTGACCAGACCCCTGCATCCTCTAGCTAAGGGACTCCCCCACTACATCTCCATCTCAAATTACACTCAGCAACCCTAATGCCCAGCACCAGGAGGCTGCGAAAGGAGCCTCGGAGGGCCCAGATGTGCCAACAACCCAGGAGACCTCACCTTGTAGCCGTTCTGTTCCCCAAAGTTAAAGATCATCGCTCTTCGTTCTCGGGTGGTATTGGTTGCATCAAAAACCTAGGACCAAAGGGGGATGAGCTCAGGATTCTGGCCCTGGGGAAGCAAAAGGCTACCCAAGGCTACACTACAGGCATCCTTGGGGACTGGGCTTCTTGCCAGGTACCTGCTGCCCAGGTCACCAGCCTGGCCTGTCTTACACAGAGGAATGCAAGCAGCAGTGTTCTGAACACAGCAGGTGCTCAGGTCATGTGTGACCAGCCAAATCTTAGTAGAACCGGTTGGTTAAGCCTGGTGCTATGGTTTGGATGTGGTTTCTCTCCTAAGGGTCATGTTCAAGCTCTCCCAAGAGAGCTAGAGAAGTCTGGTCTATCTATCCTGTGGTTTCCTATCTCCAGATGTGATAGGGGTAGGGATGTCCAATCTGCAACTTTCAGCCTCAAAACTGTGAGCTGAATCTGTTTTGTGAGGGGCTGAGACAGGGTCTCACCATGTAATCAGGCTGGCTCTGAACTTACTGCGTAAGACAGATTGGCCTCAAACCCTCAGAATTCCTCCTGGTTATGTTTCTCAAGTGCTGGGATTACAAGTGTGTGCCACCATGCCTAGCCACAAATCTCTTATTTTCTGTTCCTTTTTTTTATTTTTATTACATTTCAAGGGAGTGTGTGTGTGTGTGTGTGTGTGTGTGTGTGTGTGTGTGTATGACCAAGCCAAGTGCCCTGAGTTCAATACCTGAGACTGACAAGGCAGAAGGAAGACCAGCTCTTGTGAGTTGCCCTCTGATCCCTGTACTTGCGCTGTGGCACACTCCCACACATGTGCAAAGAAAAAAGAAATGTTCAAAAATATATTTTAAAAAATATTGAGAGGCAGATGGATCTCTGTGAGTTCGAGACCAGCAACCTGGTCTACAAGAGCTAGTTCCAGACAGCTTCCAAAAGCCACAGAGAAACCCTGTCTTGAAAAAACAAAACAAACAAACAAACAAAAAAAACCTTTGCCGGGCGGTGGTGGTGCACGCCTTTAATCCCAGCACTTGGGAGGCAGAGGCAGGAGGATCTCAGTGAGTTCGAGCCCAGCCTGGTCTCCAGAGTGAGTGCCAGGATAGGCTCCAAAGCTACACAGAGAAACCCTGTCTCGAAAAACCAAAAAGAAAAAAAAATATTGGGAATGTTTCCCTCAAATCAAAATCAAACTCTTTTGTTTGTTTCTTTTTCGGTTTTTTTTTTTTTTTTTTTTAAGATTTTATTTATTTATTATGTATACAGTCTTCTGCCTGCAGGCCAGCAGAGGGCACCAGCTCTCATTCAAGGTGTTTGTGAGTCACCATGTGGTTGCTGGGAATTGAACTCATGACCTCTGGAAGAACAGTCAGTGCTCTCAAAGGCTGAGCCATCTCTCCATCCCTTTTTCGGCTTTTTGAGACAGGGTTTCTCTGTGTAGTCCTAGCTGTCCTGGAACTCGCTCTGTAGACCAGGCTAGGCTAGAATTCACAGAGATCGCCTGCCTCTGCCTCCCGAGTACTAGGATTAAAGGCATGCACCACCACCACCCAGCTTGAGGAAAGGTTTTGAAAAAATGAAGCCATAGGTGCCAGAGAGATGGCTCAGAGGTTAAAAGCACTGGCTGTTCTTCCAGAGGTCCTGAGTTCAATTCCCAGCACCACATGGTGGCTCCCATCCATGGGGGCTCACAGGATCTGGTGCCCTCTTCTGCCTGCAGGTGTATATGCAGAGCACTCATAAATAAAGCAGAAAAGAAAAAGAAGAAAAATGGAGCCACATTAAAGGTGTGGTGGCTTATACTCGGGAGGCAGGGGCAGGTGAATCTCTGAATTTGGGGTCAGCCTGGTCTATAGAGTGAGATCCAGGGTTACAGGGTTACACAGAGAAACCATCTTAAAAAATAAAAAATAAAAATTGGTGCCACAAGGAATTCTAGAAAAGGCAGCTAAGAAAATGGGAAGTATAGGGAGGTTGAGTTGCCAGAAAGTGATAGAGGTGGCTTATTAAGAAGTGATTTTTGAAGCTGGATGGTTGGGGGAACACTCCTTTAATCCCAGCACTCAGAAGCAGGCAGATCTCTGTAAGTCAGAGGCCAGGCTGTTCTACATAGAGTTCCAGGACAACTGACCTTGTTTTGAAAAACAAAAACAAAAAAAACCTCCAAAAAACCCAAACAAACAAAAAAAGATACTACTTCTACCAGGCAAGACCTCAACCCACATATTTCCTAAGCACTTTTTTTGTTGTTTAGAAGTGGGGTCTCAGGCATCCCAGGCTGGATACAACTCCCTAGACGGCCATGGGTGTTCTGATCCTCCTGTCTCTACTGCCACAGTATCGGAGCCACAGGCAAGCACCACCCCACTCAGTTTACGCTGTGCTGGAGGTCACATCCTAGCTTTCAATAAAACAGGTCAGCAAAGCAAAGTGAAGGGGACCAGGTTATAGGACCAGAACAGGTGCTTGTCCCAGGAGAGAGGAGAAAGGAGCCCGTGGAGTGGTGGCAGTGCCAGCACCATGATGCAGGCTGGAGCTGGGGTAAGAGCCCCCGAGGAGGCACAACTCCACGAGGAGATAGATCCAGTGGCTGGGTGTACAGGGCCAGAGTCCCCAGCTCTGACTGCTTACACACTTCATTTGACTGCAGGAGTCACCACTCTAGGAGGGTTTCCTCACCTGGCCTCAGCGGCTTTTTGGAATAGTAAACTATGGGCAGGGCAGGACCCCTGTGCCAGGAGACTAGTCATATGTGTGAAAGACTGAGGTATGCTGCCGGCCCTAACTTCTAGAAGGAAGTACTGCAGAGTTAAATGTAAATACGCATCCGGGGAACGTCTGACCCACACACTTCCTGCTGCATAGCTTATGCATGTTTACCCCTCTGGCTGGCACCCGTGGGCATTCAGGGGCACACCCAACCCACCCTGCTTCCCTTCCAGGAACCCGAAGGACAGTAGACAGGGTGGTGGTGAGGAATCCGTTGTGTAGGGTGTCACACTCACCGCCACATGTCCCCCCTCCTCACTGAGGAATTTCCGGACATCACAGAGGGCTGCCAGCGCACATTGCCTTCAGGAAAGAAGACACAGAGTCAGCTTAGCATCCAGCCTTTGGCCCTACCACAGACAGGATGGGTCAGCCCGCGGGTCTGGCTCTCATAGGATAGAAGACTGTGTGTCCCTGGGTATCAGGTCTTCTGAATGCTACTTTCTGCATTTTCCCTCATCTCCTCATCATGGCACCGCTGTCACTTTGCCATGCTCATGCCTCCTAAGTGTCCGTATGTTCTGTATATCAAGATAAGCACTTTTCTTTCATTAGTTTTTGGTTTATTTATTTTATTTTGTATATATGAGCATTTTGCCTGTATAATGTTCACCATATGTGTGCCTGGTGCCCTCAGAGGTTAGAAGAAGGTGTTGGATCCCCTGGAACTGGAGTTAGAGATGGCTGTAAGCCACTGTGTGGATGCTGGGAATCGAACTCAGGTTCTCTGCAACTGCAGCAAGTGCTGTTAACCACAGAGTCATTTCTCCAGCCCCAAGATAAGTGCTTTTCAATCAGACATCCTCTGTGTACCTCAGGCTGGGGGCAGCAAGAAAGGACACACAAAGGCAGCATTCTATCCTGGAGAAGAGAATTCCACGGACCACCTCCCATTGAACACTGAGATGTCACATTTGCTATAAAGTGAACTGGCATATGTAGTGGCCATTCCCACTTTGTCCTTTTCTCCCAAAAGTCTGGAGAAACAAAGCTATTTTTACTTTGTTTTGTTTGAGACAGGAGCTTACCATATAGCACTGGGTGAACTAGAACTTGCTATATAGACCAGGCTGGCCTTGAACTCACAGAGATCGGCCTGCCTCTGCCTCCCGAGTGCTGGGATTAAAGTCGTGCACCACTAAATTTGAGTGTGGCAAAAGTCTGTCTCAGCCACGCGTTGGTGGCGCACGCCTTTAACCTCAGCACTCGGGAGGCAGAGGCAGGCCGATCTCTGTGAGTTCAAGGCAAGCCTGGTCTCCAGAAAGAATGCCAGGATAGGCTCCAAAGCTACACAGAGAAACCCTGCCTCAAAAAAGCAAAAAAAAAAAAAAAAAAAAAAAAAAAAAAAAAAAAAAGAGTCTGTCTCACACCCTCCCCCCCACCCCCAGCAAATAATAATAATGTTTTGTTTAGGTTTGTTTTTATTTGGTTTGGGTTTTGGTTTTTTGAGACAGGGTTTCTCTGTAGTTTTGGAGGCTCTCCTGGAAGTAGCTCTTGTAGATCAGGCTGGTCTCGAACTCACAGAGGTCTGCCTGACTCTACCTCCCTAGTGCTGGGATTAAAGGCATGAGCCATTACCACCTGGCAATAATAATGTTTTTTAAGACGCTGGAGAGATGGCTCAGTGGTTAAGACCACTTGCTGCTCTTGCAGAGGATCTGGGTTCAATTCCAGCTACCCACATGGCAGCTCACAACCATCCACAACTCCAGTTCCAGAGAATCTAACACCTTCTGACCTCAGAGACATCAGACATGCATGTAGTGCACAGACATACATGTGATCAAAACACTCACTAATATAAAACAAATGTTGTTTTTAAAAACATTTATTTTGGTTTTTCAAGATAGGGTTTCTCTGAAGCTTTGGAGCCTGTTCTGGAACTCAATCTGTAGACCAGACTGGCCTTGAACTCACAGAGATCCACCTGCCTCTCCCTCTTGAGTGTTGGGATTAAAGGCATGCGACACCACTGCCTGGCAATAGTTTTTTTGTTTTTTTGGTTTTTTTTAAAGTGTTTTTCTTTTGCCAAAATCTCTGAAGTCTGAGTCTAGAAAACTAGCATTGTTGGGTCATTTCTTACTACCTGCCTGTAGATCAGCATGTTTGGGGCTAAGATCTTTTGTGGGGGCTTCTGATTATGGATCTACTGTGAAGGAGGTATCTCAGGACCCCAAAGGAAACAGCATGAGAACATCCTGGAAGACCGTGTGCACACTCATACGTGAGTGTGTAAATATGCTTGTGCTTGCATGTCTGTGTGTGGGCAGGTCTCTATGAGTGTACTGTGCCCATGTATGGGCATGTAAGTCTACCAGTGTGTGTGTGAATCCCCTGGGCCCATGCTAGAGGAACTGAGAGCATCCTGTGGGACTCCAAGGAGATAGCTCAGATGCTGGTCCCTACTTTCTTTGGGACTTCCTTTCTATCACTCTGTTGTAATAAACTTTAGCCATGAGTCCTGGGAGTCATCCTCGAAAATCACCAAACCTGAAGGCAGCCTTGGGGTCCCAAGTGCACTTGGGGTGTAGATGTATACAAAGGGTAAGCATGTGTGTCTGACTCTGAGTAATGCACATGCAAGAATGAGCCCAAGTGAAGATGCCCACATGTGCACACATACTCTCACAGACTATATGTGTCCAGGGTTGTGTATGTATGTGAACACACCCATGGTATACATAGAGAGCCTATGTATGGTAAGAGAACACAGTATGAATGTGCCTGATGGGATGTGTCCATGTACCTCTACACATGCATACCTGACTGTCACTCACATGGTTGCTGACACCTCCCTCTTGTCTAGTTTCATGTGTCTGAACACTGTGTGTGTGTGTGTGTGTGTGTGTGTGTGTGTGTGTGTGTAGCTAGGTCTCTTGGAAAGGCAGCCATTTCTTCTTGGCTTCTCATTTTTAAGACTCTGGTCTCACCACTCATAGTGGCAAATACCTGTAATCCCAGAACTTGGAAGGTGGAGACAGGAGGATCAGAAGTGCAAGTCATTCTTAGCTGTGTATCAAGTTCCTTGCCAGCCTGAGCTATATCATGCCATTTACCTCAAAACAAAACAGACAAACAAAAATCCCTTCTGCTCCTGGGCTGGGGGTGTAATCCAGTTTATCATGAACAAGACCCTGGCTCAATCCAAGTGCTGCAAACAATAACAATGGCAAACAAAACTGCACAAAATAGACACTACTTCTCGTCCTTTCATTGTTCCAATGATTTAAAAGAAAATCTGGGATAGTCAATGGAAAATGGCCCTGTGGCCAAGTGGCTAGATCCAGGCTTTAGGTGTAAAACAAAAACAACAGGAATGTCCCATCTTCTACCATGGGTCCCTCAGTGTCCAGCAGGTGCCCTTGAGCTAGTCTCTCCAACCTTTCTGTGTCTGGGCTTCTACATCTGAATCATTCCCCAGATTCTGACCTTTTGGGGTAGCTTGAGTGAAATGGCTGGCAGATTTGGAATACTAACCAATATTATCACTTTCTACGCTCAGACCCCACACCTGGAAAGGAAGGCACCACCAATGATCAGACAGAGGCATCTACCAGGCTCACACTGCTTTAGATTTTGCACTGGAGACATTCTTTGACCTACTAGTTACAAGATACTTGAGTGAGTGAATGATGGGCAGTTGCTGGTGTTGTTGCTTTGTTTGTTTGATTGATTGGTTTGGGGGGGTCTTTTGAAGCACTGACTCATGCTACCCAGGCTGGCTTTATACTATGTAATGGACAGAGACCTTGAACTCCTGATCCTCCTGCCTTCACCTCCCAAGTGCTGGGACTGCAAGCCAGGCGGACTACCAAACTCAGCTGTGATGGACGTTTTTAGTGGTAAATACTCAGTTTCAAAATTACTCAGCTACTTCAAATGTGAAGTAGCCTCACAGAAATGTATGAGACTCCTAGACTCTGAGCCTCAGTTTCCTTACCTACAAAATGGGGACAGTGGAATCAGACGTCAAGCACACAGTAGATTGGAGTATCAATACATTCCCTAGCTTCTGGTTTTACCTAAATGTCAGACTTCCTTTCTGGGTGCCTCAGCCAGTTCCGACCCCTAGCATGCAGGAGCAGAGGAAGCAAGTTCAGGTACACAATGGGGTGCTCCTGCCCCCTCGTGGCCACAGAAGGAAGAAGTAGCCTAGTGTCCCTGGTGATAGCTGCCCATCAGCACAGTGGCCTCCATCCCCAGCAGAGGCCAGAGCAAGTCTGTGCCAACTTAGGCTGACAAGCGGCATATGGCAGTTAGTTTTAATTGTCAACTAGATATCATCTTAGAATTACCTGGAAAGAGGCTCAAGGACAGACAGTCCAGGTCAGGTGGGCCTGTGGGCATGTGTGTGAGGGATTCTATTTATTTATTTTTTATTTATTTTGGTTTTTTCGAGACAGGGTTTCTCTGTGGCTTTGGAGCGTGTCCTGGAACTAGCTCTTGTAGACCAGGCTGGTCTCGACCTCACAGAGATCCTCCTGCCTCTGCCTCCTGAGTAGTGCTGAGATTAAAGGTGTGCGCCACCACCGCCTGGCTGGATTTTTTTTTTTTTAATTAGGTTAATTGAAATGGGGAGACCCACCTTGAACATATGGGTGACACACTTCCATGGCCTGAATTGAACGTGAGAGTGAAAAGTAAGCTGGGTAGGTGGGCATGAGCACATTTACTTTCTCTCGGTTCTGCACTGCAGATGTGACTTGCTGCTCCAAGCCCCTGCCCTGACTTCCCTCAGTGGACTACAATCTGGTCCAACAAATCAAACAAACATTTTTCCCCTACCCTTTCTGTTGGGTGTTTTTGTCTGGTGTTTTATCAGAACAATGGAAGTGAAAACAGGATAAGGCTTAGTTTTGTTGTTGTTGTTGTTGTTGTTTGAAACCCTGGCTATCCTAGAACTCACTATGCAGACCACACTGTCCTAGAACTCACTGAGACCTGTTTGCATCTGTCTCCCAATCGATGAGACTAAAGGTGTCACCACCAGGCCGGACAGGATAGAGCTTCTTGACCACCTCACCGACCCCTTCTCAAAGAGTTCAAGTCTGAATTGTGAGGAGGACAGAGATCATATGAAAATGTTTATCTCATGAGTGTCAACTACTTACTCCACAGCATCCAAGCCATGTTAAACTAAAACCAATGTACATGCCAAGAACATGCCAAGCACATAGCAAACACAGAGTGCCTATCCTGGGGCATTAGAGAAAATAACATGAATCCTCTACAGTGGCCTGGAGTAAACGAAAGCAGGACTTCCAGGCCATACAATGGCACTGGCCTGCCCCGGCTAAGCCTCTCCTCTCTCTGAAGCTCTATCTTCCCTTCCCACAGAACTGCCTTACACGAGGGAGGGATGGAACAGCTGTTAGGAGGCTACACACAACTTCTCCCTAACATATCATATGTCAACCTTTTCACAACCTGAGTGGTTAAGAAGCCAGACCAAGAGCTGGGTATGGTGGCACATGCCTTTAATCCCAGAACTCTAGAAACAGAGGCAAGATGATCTCTGTGAGCTCAAGGACAGCTAGGGCAATATAGTGAAATACTGTCTCAAAAACAAACAAACAAACAAACAAACAAAAAACAAAGATGGCAGTCACACAGCATGGAGCCAGCACTGTCAGTCACTCGGCATCAGACTGTGCTGCTGGAGCTCAGCAGCAGCTCAAGTAACTGGGCTCCAGAGACTGGGAGAAGGGGTGTTTCTTAGCAAATGGGTAGTGACTTATCAAGCTTCTCTACAGGCAGGCCCCGCCCCGCCCCGCCCCTCGGCACACTTACTTCCTGATTTTCAGGCCTTCTTCATTGTCTGGGAGGAAAAACTCAAAAGATTTGTATGTCTTGACCATGTCCCGGCGATACTGGCCAACGTTGAATTCTAGGGGAAGAAGAGGCTTAGCTTTCCCTGGACAGCAACCCAACCAACCCTTCCCTGAGCCCCTCCCCAGGCCCTGCCACCCCCAGCCTTCTTCCTGCCCCCATTATTCGTTCTCCCACGATCCTCTTGGGGCCTCACCCCGAGTAGGCACACCAATCCAGTTGAGGTACCGGGTCAGCTTCTTAGAAATGTAGGTCTTGCCCCTGGCTGGCAGGCCCACCATGACAATGAGCGCCGGGCAGTTGGTCATGCAAACTGGAAGGCAAGCAGCCCCGGGACAGTGAGTCTGGATTCTCAACTTAATGGGATTCAGAATCACCATGGGAACAAATCTCGGTCTATGAGAGAGTTCCCACGAGGTTAACTAAGGGAGGAAGACCATCTTAAATGTGGGCCGCACCATTCGCTAGGCTAGGGTCCTGGACTGAAAAAGAGAGAAAGCGAGCAAGCAAGCAAGCAAGCATCCATTCATCTCTCTGCTTCCTCACCGGGGATGCAAGGTCACCAGCGACCTCAGGCTCCAGCCACCACAGCTTCCTTGCCATGATGAACTGTCCCCTTGAACTGTGATCCAGAAAAACCATTTCCTTTCCTATGTGTCTGTCAGGGACTTTGTCACAGCAACAAGGAGAGTGACTAATTCAAACACTTTATCGCACAATGCCGGAGCTCGGAGTCTCCCTCTCTCCCAGTGTTTTATCAGACCGAGGGCACAGGATTGGCACCAGCTAGCTCTCTAGTACCACTGTATCCAGTCTGAGGCTGCCATGTGTCCTGTTCTCATCACAAAGCACACAGATATATATATGAGGCACAACGAGCCAGGCCTGCAGTTACACACTCCAGGGAGCTTTGTCTGCCCAGAGGACACCAGAGCCAAAGCCTGCCTCTTTCATCCAGGAATCCATACTCTAATCTCTACCTATCTCCATTTGACCTTCCAGCTCATCTGTGGTCTCCGTTGAATTTCCTTTTCTCTTCAAAGCTCTGCCTTAATGTTCTCCCTTCAACAAGGACCTCTGTTCCCAGGGCACCTACATGCGTACCCGGGGCATTCTCCCCTCCCACTTGGTCACCTCACTCACTAATGACTGTCATCTCTGGACTGACTATTTGGAGTAGCTATTACATGTGACTGTCCTCCAAGCCAAGCAGCCACCAACTGCACCCCTTTGCAAAACCATTCTCCTGGCTAGGTTTGTTGACTGTTTATTATCCCCTCATGGAGGGGTGAGTAGGGTCTTGAGACCCTCACCTGAGAATCCAGCTGCTTCCTACCACTTGTTGTATGCACTGACACCCATGCAAGTGACCCCTCACCTCTGCTCTGTAAGGAAGTCCAATGGACTCGTTGGCTCAGCTTGACCCTGGGATCTTGGGAGGGGGGGTATTTACATCTTGTTTCTATCTCCCAGAGGAAGGAATTTTAGCCCAGTGTCCCTGAGGTGGCTGAGCCACTCGTGTTCCTGTCCTGGCACTGCAGTCCTGCTCAGTGATATGAGCAGGGAGGCAACTGGAAGCCAGTCAGGGTGAAGGCCGCAGGGACCGGGAGCAGAGGCCCAGCAATGAGAGTTCTCTTGACAGTCTTCTCGTCACCATCTCATAGGCTACCAGAGCAGGGTGTCATCCACAGAGTCTGCCAAGGCTGCAGGCTGGGAAAGACCTGTCCACAGTTTCCCTGAGCATCAGGGACCTAAGCCTGACACCAAAGCAGCAGGATTGCCTGTGGCTCAGCTCAGCTTCCAATGTGGCCCCATGTGGTCCCACCCTAGAAGGCATCACCCATAAGATCAGGGCCAGTAAAACCATAGGGGACAGATTGATGAACAGATGTGGGGAGCTGTCCCTGCTCTCCTCTGCCCACTTAGTTGCCTACCTTTGCCAGACCATCAGGAACTTCTCTCAGCTGTCTCTCTTAGGGCACAGAGACCTAGGGACAGCTCTGCCTGTCAGCAGTAAGGCAAGTCTCAGTTCCTATTTTGCTTGTGACACCTTCTGTCACACCTCAGAGTCTTGGTATCCTCACCAGTATGATGTGGCACTTTCCCCATGGAAAAGCTGGAGCACTTCTGGGAAGCTGTGCCCTTTTGCCTTGCCCTGGCAGCATCCTGGACTACAGGATGTACTTCAGCCCCAACTGCACTTAGGACTTGGGATGTAGGCAACATCATTCCTGGGTATGATCCAAACTGTGAAACCCAGGGGAGGGGAGAAGGGGACCTGGGCTAAGGAAGAGGAGGCCACTTGCAGCATAACCTAAGTATTGGCTAAGGTCAGAGGAAACCAAGTTAAGCAAGGCCTGGCCGGCCTCCTCAGGGCCAGAAGACTGCTGAAGTCTGTTGTTTGCACAATTCCTGCCCAGGCTGACAGGAGCTCTGAAGCAATTTAAAGAGAGTACATCAGCAGCCTCCAAAGCCACAGAGAAACCTTGCCTTGGAAAAAAAAAAAAAAAAAGAGTACATCAGCCATTTACCATAGCAACCATCTGGCCATCCCTGCCCCTCCTGGTAAGCCCTCCCACGCCCATCACTGCTCTCTCAACACTCATTTCAAGATTCAGGTACTGTACCTACTCTTCACATCTGTTTTGCTCAGGGTGACTATTGCTGTGATGAAACACCATGACTAAAAGCAACTCCGGGAGGAAAGGGTGTATATTTTGGCTTACACTTCCACATCACTGAAGGAAGTCAGGACAGGAACTCAAACAGGGCAGGAACCTAAAGAAAGGAGTTGGAGCAGAGGCCATGGAAGGGTGCTACTTATCATCTTGGACATTATAGCTTGTTCAGCCTGCTTTCTCTTTTCTTTTTTCTTTTTTCTTTTTGGTTTTTCGAGACAGGGTTTCCCTGTGGCTTTGGAGGCTGTCATGGAACTAGCTCTTGTAGACCAGGCTAGTCTCGCACTCACAGAGATCCAACTGCCTCTGCCTCTGCCTCCCGAGTGCTGGGATTAAAGGCGTGTGCCACCACCGCCTGGCTCCAGCCTGCTTTCTTATAGAACCCAGGACCACCAGCCCACAGTGGCTGGGACTTCCCCCATCAATCACTAATTGAGCAAATGTCCTACAGGCTTGCCTACAGCCAGATCTTCTGGAGACATTTTCTCAATTGAGGTTCCCAGATGACTCTAGCTTGTGTCAAGTTGACATAAAACTGGACGGCACAACATCTATTTTCCCAGAGCAGACCTGGGCCCCTCTTATAGCCACAGCCTCTCCCACAGTCTCTGGTGACAGCTCTCTCTTCCCCACTCCCATTGATACAAGGTGGGCAGTCAGGGGAGCAGACTGGATCTGGGCACAAAACAAGGCAATAAATTAGTGATCACCTCTGTTCCTTAAGATAAGCTCTGAAGAAATCACTAAAGCAAACCAAAGTTCAAGAACATTCCAGGCAGCTTTGCTTACAACAGCATGATGTGGAGATAATCCCTAGAGTGGAGAAATTGTAGACAAAGGCAGAACAAAGAAGGGTACAATACAGACCATGAGACTCATGGAACAGAGATGGGATATGCAGTCAGAACCCCAGCCCTGGCTTCACAAGGACATCTAGAAGCCAGGACAGGAGAACACATTGTCTCCAATATCATACACACAGAGAGAAAGAAGTCTGAAGACATGTCAACTCAGACGTTTCTGGTTCCTTTTTCCATAATTTACTAAAGGCCACAGAACCCTAGGAGCCCCAAGGCCTGAGATACTGCAGCAATGGAGAGAACCTGCCAGCCTATCTGCTTCCAGGCACTTCCACCAAAGGCACAGCCAAAGTTCCTGGAGTGGATTCTAGGTAGATTCCTAAATTGATTGTACTTGCTCCCACCATCTTGGCCAGACTGAGGAAGGAAGAATTCTTAAAAATTAAGCAACACCTGGGCGTTGGTGGCGCATGCCTTTAATCCCAGCCCTCGGGAGGCAGAGGCAGGTGGATCTCTGTGAGTTCAAGGCCAGCCTGTTCTCCATAGCGAGTGCCAGGATAGGCTCCAAAGCTACACAGAGAAACCTGTCTCGAAAAACAAAACAAAAACAAAACATAAAAAAAATTAAGTGACATTGTATGACAGTTCCACTAAGAGGACAGACTTCACTCTCCTGCTGCCTTGTGCACACACATAAGTCCTGTCAAACAGGAGGAATTATGCCATCTTGTCACCTTTTGGCTGGAAAAAGGCATCAGAAGACATTGGCACATGCCTTTATTCCCAGCACCTGGTAGCCAGAGGCAGGAGGATCTCTATGAGTTCAAGGCCAGCCTGGTCTATATAGTGAGTTCCAGGACAACGAGGGCTACACAAAGAAACCCTGTCTCAAAACAAAATAAAACAACAAAAAGCACTTACTCTTGCAGAGGACCGGGGTTTGAGTCCCAGCACCCACACAGAGGATCATAAGGGTCCATGAGTCCAGTTCCAGAGGATCTGATGCCCTCTTCTCACCTCTCAGAACATCAGACACATACACAGAGCATAGACACACATGAAAGCAAAATACTCATACACATAAAATAAGTAAATAAATATAAAAAAAAACTTCAAACAATTAAGAAAAATGATATCCTGTCACTCAGGAGGCAGAGGCAAGAGGGCCATCCAGAAGGTCAACAGTAGGCCTACATAGTGGGTTCCCAGCCATCCAGAGTCTGCTCCAGGTGGCTACATTCTCAAAAACAAACAAAAAAGGAAAAACAACAACGCCCCGCCTGCCATGGTCCTGGGGCCTCTCCTTATCCTGTCCCATCTCCCCCGAGCTCTTAAAGCTCTAAGCTAGGATCATAATGGTAAGGACGGTTTATTGCTTCCAGACACGTAGATATGGCTCTGAAATCTATAAATTACCAAACTTCATCAACTGTTTAAGGTGTTTGAGGGTTGAGAACATGGCCAGGGACTGGACACCAGAGGAAACTAGAACCAGCCCAGACTAGCAGTAGACACTGCTTCTTCCTTCCCATAAAGCCCTGTGCTCAGGCTAACCTTCCCCACCCTAAGGTCTTTACTGTCCTTAAGTCCTGCAACCTGGCCGGAGCTCACTGTGCAAAGAGTAGAATGCTGTACAGGTGCTGTGACCTCTGTGACCTCTGGCTGGGGCCCAGACTGCCATCCCCAGGCACATATTCGAAAGCTTCATTTTTGGCCATGTCTCTCCAGAAAAGCATGGTCTACAACTTAGACTATTCCAATACTCTGACACTGACAAGCCCTCCACTTATACAAGAGCCACTTTTTTTTTTCTTTTTGGTTTTTCTAGACAGGGTTTCTTTGTGTAGCCCTGGCTATCCTGGAACTCACTCTGTAGATCAGGCTGGCCGAATAATCAAAGATCCACCTGCCTTTGCCTCTCCGGGATTAAAGGCATGCGCCATAACTGCATGGCACAAGAACCACATATTCACCCTATACTTAGAGCTTAGAAGGAACATACAGTCCCTGCCTCAGAAGCAGATACCTGAGCAGGTCCCTCCTCTGTGGGCCTCAGCTCCCTTCTACCTATAATGAGAGGCTGACTCAGGCTGACACCTTAGTCTGAATAGTGAGAGGCAAAAAGAAGATTGGTGGTAATAAGATCTGCTTCTACTTTTCTTTCTTTCCTTTTGTTTTGTTTGTTTGTTGACTGTCCTGGCACTCACAGAGATCCTCCTGTCCTTGACTCCTGAGTGCTAGGATCAAAAGTTTGCACCAACATGCTCAACTTGCTTCCACTTTTCAAGTGTCCACTCATTAGAGGTAAAGATGATAATGGTCTCATCCTAGGGTTGGGGTCTAGCTCCTTGCTCAAGATCACAGAGCTAGTCCAGGATAAGGCTTGAGTGCTCCTAGCTCCAAAGTCCAGTTTCCTACTCCTCCTGCAACAGGTGCAGCCATCCCCCAACTCGGGTCAGGACCACAGAACTAATAAAGGCTGGCAAGGAGCTGCTTTAATGTTTCCAAAAGAATGGAAAGGCCACAGTCCCTGGAGACTCAGAATGTGTCTGGACAGTTATAGCTCTACCAGCACCCATACTGTGGTCAGAGCCACCACCCACAGGAACACAGTCTGCTTATGAACCACGGCTATCCTACCAGGACCCAAGTGTGATCACATATGCCTTCCCACCCCCACTCTCCCAGGCCTCTCATTATGGTAAAGGTCAAAGTCATGCTCTCAGACTGACCTTGGCAACAGAAGGCCAAAGGACCCTCCCTCCCCTCCTTATCACACACAGCAGCCTTCAGGAATGCAAGGAGACCCTGGCACATCACACAACAGCCTCATCTCTGTTTCCATATCTGCACCACCAGTTGAACTAGATGTTCTCTGAGGTCTTTGCCAAGCTGCAAATTCATTACAGTATTTGAGTTACTCCTGAAGTAATGTTTTTCCTTTTCCCTGTTAATAAAACAATTGCACTCCATTTAAGAACAAACAGAAGAACCAAGGAAGTACATGAAGACACCCAGGATCCCAGAAGAGGTGAGTCACTTAGTAATTCACAAATTTCAGCATGTTCCATGCTCCACCCTCCTGCGCAGTCATTTACCTGCGAACTCAAGTGGGTGCTTCCATGTCCAGGGGCACAGAACGAGGTCCATATGGAGTGCTGTTCCCATTGACCCAATCCTGACAACTGTACTCCCTTCAAATTCCTCCCAGAACTTTGGTTTTAAGACGAAGAAGTACTCGTCTTGCTGAGGACTACTAGCCATGGCTAGGTTTTCAAAAGTTATCGGCTCGGAGATGCCAAGTGCCTTGTCTAGAGCTACACAGCTCAGCTTCCAGCCAGACTACCTGGCAGCCCACTCTTGGGCCAGGAGAGAGGAACCAACAGTACCATGACCACCAAGTCCTCCCCTATATCCAGGCACTGGGAACAGCTTGGGTCAGTACCCCCCATGGTAGTGGTAGCCAGAGCCAGTCTCCTCACACCTGTCTCCACTCCTGCTCCACCACGCTTAGCTTCTGCGGGCCACTGTCACCGCCACCTCACCTGTGCCCAGCTTCTCGCCTGTCCCCGACTCCGCCCGACAGTCACAATAGCCTCGCCTTGCCCGTTTCTCTACCTGTCTCCTGCTTGCCCACTGGAGACCCTCACCCAGGGCCGTCTACCCATCCTTCGGGTGCATCCGCCTCCTGCCCTCCCTGCGCACCCCGTCTTACCACCCCGCTGGCTGGCGTGCAGGGCGGGCCGCCCATTGCTGTATGGCATCCAGATCTTCTTCAGGGGATTCTGGGTCAGTTCCCGTGGGGACGCCATCCCCTGGCCGGGATGAATCGGACTGCGCTGCTACGCACCCAAGCAACCCGGCCACCTCGGGCCACCCGAGGTCCCGCCCCTCGGGCCCCGCCCCTCCTCTAGCGGCTTCACTCCTGTCCATCTTCCTGCAAGCCCGCCCCAGTGCCATTAGGCTCCACCCAAACTGGAGAGGCTCTGGTTTACGACTACGCATGCCCAATTCTCCTACCGCCTCTTTTTTGGACTAACCGCGCCCCGTCTGTCAAACCAAGGCTAATAACGCGCATGCGCAATTCCCAAGGCGTTTGACACCCAGATTATGTAGGCCCCGCCCCGGATGTGAAGTTTACCCCGCTCAAGCAGATTGTTATTTGCATAGCCCCGCCCACGTCCCCGTTTAGGGCGCTGCAGCCCCTCCCCCAAAGCGTGTGGCGCCTCTGCTCCCTGCAGAACGTGACCTCTCGGTCGCCTGGTGAGAAGGGCTGAGGCTGGCGGGGCCTGCGTGACCCTCAGAGCCAGGATAGTCTAGACCAGCTTGGCTGTTGTCCCCGAGTGGCTCTAGTGACTGGCCTGCTGTCCTGGCAGTCGACCTCCGCTGCGCCCTCCTGGACCTTCTTCTCTTGGGGCCTCCTCAGCTGCTCCCACCCTCGGAACTTCCCCGGTCCACAAGAACAACTTGTTCAACCACGCAGAAGGAGTTCCCTTATCTCTGGGGCAGGAACACAGGATACATCTCAAAATCCAGCACGATTTGGCGTGGCTCCTGGGGAACTTGGGCTAAACCTCTGCCCTCCTGGAGCAAATATATGAGCAAGCTATTTGGGACACAATGAGCTCTGGCAGTATTCTCTTCCCAGGACTTACATTTTACCAATTAAAATTTTGTTGTTTTTTCTTTCTTTGCGGGGAGGAAGGCCAGGGTCTCTTGTAGCCTAGGCTGGCCTGGAACTCAATATATAGCTCAAGATAACCTTGAACTTCTGACCATCCTGCTTTAACCTCCCAAGTTCTGTTCTTGCTGCACAATGTTTATACAGGGCTGGGAATCGAACCCAAGGATTTGTGCATGCTAGGCAAACACTCTACCAACTGAGCTACACTCGCAGCCCCAATTAAAGTTTTAATGATGAGTTAATATATTTTTTGAATGAGTTTCTGTCTCTCCATCAGGAAAATGAGATGCAGAATCATCAATTTTACAAGATTGTGGCACAGATTAAATGTACAGTGTCTGAAATCTGCTCTATAACATGCAGGCATTCTCATTCATCATATTATCATATTACTACCATCCCTGCCTTTGAAAATGTACTGGGGGGGCCGGGCAGTGGCACACGCCTTTAATCCCAGCACTCGGGAGGAGAGGCAGGCGGATCTCTGTGAGTTTGAGACCATCCTGGTCTACAAGAGCTAGTTCCAGGACAGCCTCCAAAGCCACAGAGAAACCTTGTCTCAAAAACCAAAAAAAAAAAAAAAAAAAAGAAAGAAAAAGAAAAAAGAAAGAAAGAAAGAAAGAAAGAAAAAGGAAATGTACTGGGGCAAGCAAGGGCCAGGCCTTGCAGCTCAGGCTTAAAGGCTAAAGTGGTACCATATGAAAAACTCCCCAAACTGAGTGACCCTGGATGAATATGACCCCTTGGAGGCTGGTGAGGGGCAGCGTGGAGAAGCCACTCTTCTGTGTTTGGACTCCACCACAGTCTCCCCAAAGCTCAGGCCTCTTCTATCTGCCCAGCGCCATCTCTCCAAACTATACACTTGCTGCTCCAGGTCCCAGCAACAGGGCTTGAGTCTCTGCCTCCCTGCCCTCTGGTGATGCCCTCCACCAGACTCCTGGCAGGTTTCCTGCCTCAAACTCTCTGTCTCACAGATGCCCAGCCTGAAGCTAGCGACATGAAAAACAAGGCTGACCTTGTTCACAATCAGTGCAGCATCCCCTACTGTCATATCTCAGCCTGCGAGCCTGACAAAGCCCCTTAGGATGACTGTGACAATGATATCTTAACCACCACACCAGGAAATAGAAGCTCAGAGGCCCACCTGGAGCCTCCCCAGTACCAGCTCTAGCTGGCTACTTTGGGAAATACCCTGCTCCAGGCAGGTGGCTCATTTCCTCTTTCCTCATTCTCCTGATACAGCATCCTCCCTCTATCCCAGAGGGAGGTGGGCAGCCTGGAGCACATCCACAGATGGCTCCTCTGGTGAATATCAGCAGCACCTACTTCTCCAAAACCATTCGTTCTGTTCCTGTTTGTGGCCCGGCCACTGCCAAGGTCACCTTGGGACTACATTGGCTTCAGAATCCTCACTGCTGTTCACGCACACTTATCACAGAGTTACCTCTAACATCAAGGGTACCCAGTACCTCATCAGGCCCATCCCTTCTTTTCCCCAGAACTCCTGGATGTTACTTAAGAGCTGGTGGCCAGGGCACAGTAGGGCAGGGCCAATGGCCAGTCATTTGTCTCCACACCCAGTCTGAGCCTGGTTTCAGGAAATGTAGCTCTATACCTCCCACTCTTCTCAGCTCACCCCGGGCTGACCCAGACACACCCTCCCAAGCCTATATATCCAGCTAGGAAGCCATAGGTCACCATCATGAGCCTAGACAACCTTCCCAATGCCAGGGTCTACAACTGTTCAGACCATTACTCCCCATGTCCCCTTTCATGGCCTCATTTCTTAGGTAAGACACTGAGGATGCAGACAGGGAGGAAACAAGATAACAGAGGCAGCCCACGGTGCAAGAAGGGCTCAGCTCATCCCCCAGCCTTCACAGCTTCATCTCCTCCAGCTCGCTCTATTGCTCCATTTCTCACACCTAGGCTCTTGCTTGTTCCCTCCGACGAAAGCCTTCCAAGCTTTCTGTTCCCCCAACACCAGCAGATGTTCAATAGACTGACTAGCCCTCATGGCTTTCCCTTTTCAGGGTATCTCAAAGTGTACCAAGTACCCTGTCCCATGCACAGGAAGTGCTGGCTGCCCACGGTGCACTCATGTATGAACACAGCTAACTCAGCTTTCTCTACCATGAACCTAACCGGCCTGGCCCAGCTTGGCTCCCTGAGCGCCTTATGTCCTGACCAACGGACCTCCTCCTAGTATCCCAGTTATGGAAGCCATTTGATCAAAGTCCTCAACCCTCGGTTCTCAAGGCTCAAACTCTTTCCACTCTCTATCTTCTGCCTAGTCCTGGCTGTACCAAGAGCCACCATTTACAACCTAAAGACGGGGGAGGGGGGGCTCAGCCCTGCCACACAAATGCACACCAACATGCTCACGCATGCACACAGAAGCACGTATATTAATAGTCCTGCTTGTCTCCTCCTCTTTATTCCCTGACCAGATGCTGCTTTGCTGGGTGCAGGGAGTTGCCAGGAATCCAAGCTTCCTCTGGCTATTTTCAAGAACTGTCCCCAGCATCCTTCTGGGCCCAGAGTTCATACTGTGAGGTTCCATTTTGGGGGTATCCAGCCACGTGAGTGGCAGCCTGTGACACTTGATCTGTACTTCCTGCTTCTAGCCTGGCACAGGGCACACAGTAGGTGCTGCAAATGTCTCAGACCTAGCCAAGGTGTAGAAACTGCTCAGAGAGGCTTATGGAAAAGACAGTACACAGTAGGTGTGTAGAGAAACTCAGGACCAGCAGAGAGCACACAGTGGGTGCCCTAAAAATACAAGAGTAAAGGCTAAGATAGCACTATATGAAAAACTTCCCAAACCGGGTGACCCTGATGAACAAGACCCCTTGGAGGCCAGCAAGGGGCATATTGGGGAGTGACTCAGGCAGCTCCAGCTGGCTGGCCCTCCCCCTTGGCTGAAGGAAGACACTATTTATAGTCATCCCACCTTGGTCCAGGCCCCTCTTCCCAACAAGGCCCCAGCTTTTCCTCCCCTTGAGGCCACTGACAGATTGATGCCCTCTCAGAGCACTCTGAGAGATCCCCAACACCCTCAGGCTCCCTCCAACACCATCTTCACTACAGCCAGGTCTTCTCTCAATCCCCATCGTCCCCATGCTACCCAATGCCTACCCTGCCCGTCGCTCTCCCGCCCAGGGTCGACCAGAAAGGTGCCTTCTAAAGTACCTCTGTCCATCCTGCCACCCACCTGGCCAGAGCCCCCGCCCCCCCAC